GGCTCCTCCTGCCACGCCTGCGCTGTCCCGGACGTGCCCTGTGCCCCCCCCGCCGCCACTTGGGGTGCAGGGAGCGGGGACAGATCCTGCCCAGCGCTGTGGGACGCATGTGCGTGTCCGGCTGCCAGCAAAGGCCCGTTCCCGGCCGGGGCCAGGAGGCTCCGGTGCCCCCGGGGCTGGGGACGAGCTGGCAGCTGTCCTGGCATGGGGCAGGGACCTGTCCTGGAGCAGAGCCGCAGTCACCGGGGTCCCAGCTCCCTGCGCCAACTCCAGCATCTGGAGACGCTTCCCAGCACGTGCCGCCCCCGTTCCCTGACCTCGGGCCAGCACTGGCCATGGCCACGGGCCCAGCGCTGGCAGGCGCTGGGAGCACACATGGTTAACGCCGGCCGCCTGCGCCGCTGGGCTCGTATCTGGCAGTGGGAGGGCTGCGCGTTCTGTCCTGCTCCTCCGCTGCCTCCTTTACTTTCTAGAAAGTGCGTTTCCGCCCGGGCCGAGGGAGAAGAGGCTTTTGGAGCGGGAGGCAGCCGATCCGCCGTGGGCAGGCTCTGCCCGGGGCGCTGGCAGGGCAGAACCGGGGGGATGCCCTAGGGAAGGAAAGGCAGCGTCCGGAGGGAGCAGCCCTGGCCCAGAGGTAGGTGGGGGGTGGGTTTGGGGGGTCCCTGCAGGCCTGGGGACCAGCACCCCAGAGCTGCACCTTGTTGTGTATCCATCTGTGGGTGCCGTCAGTGACGGGTGCTGCGGAATCGGTGTGGACGCACCCAGTTGGTGGCCCCGCCTCGCCAGGCACAGGGGTGCCCCAGGGCACGTCCAGTGAGGGGGACCCGTCCCTCCCTCTGCTCTGGGTGAGGACCCTGCCCTGCCTGCGAAGGGGGCGGTGGGGACCGTAGGGCTGAGGTCCTCACGGTCCTCTGAGGGAGCAGCCGGACCCGCAGCAGCTCCGGGAGGACAAAGGCTGAGAGAGAGGGTTAGTGCTGGAGCCGGGAGCGTAGGCTCAGCCCTGCACAGATCCACCGCGGCTCCCCCAGCCCTGTGTCCAAAAAGCCAGTTCCCACGAGCATGTCAAACCCGGGGCTGGGCCACCCCTTGGCATGTCCGAAGGGGATGCGGTGGCTGCTGGGGTCCCCAGCACATCTCACTGGTGCTGCCGGGTGCCGCAGGAGCTAGAGGGCTGCGACCTCCCTGTCGGTCCTTGACCGCAGCTGCCCCGTGCAGCTCCTGCCCCGGTGCCCGCCAGCTCTGTGCTGCTCCAGAGGTGCAAACAGCTCTGCAACCATCCCAGCTGCTGCAGCAAAAGGCAGGGGGGAGCCATCCCACCAGCATGTTCCCGGACGGCACAGGCATCCCAGCTCTTGCTGCTGTGGCTCAGGGAGGGCTGTACCCACCACCCGGAGCAGGGAGGGCGAGGAGGGTGTGCAGGTCCTGCTGCCTCTGTGCTGCCCCACTGCTCTGAGCCCCCTCGTCCCTCCCCTGAGCTTTGCTCTTGTTTCATCCTGGTCTTTATCACTGCCTGGAATGTATTTCAGGATGTTTTGACTTGCAGTCCCAACGCTTTAGCAGCCACTGAATTTAAATCTTCAAACTGCTCCTGGAGAACATCCAACCCTGACAGGAAAAACAGCGTCCCTCAGCAGGACCGTATATACCCATGCGTACACGGGCGCCTCCCGCCCCACGTGTCTGCAGGGCGCAGGGGGAGACGCGCTCGTCTCCATTTCCAGCCCTGCAACAGCCTGGGAAGCGCGCTGCCTTTCTCGGTGGGAATTTCCTGGTGAAGGATTTCTTCTCCCTGCAGAGCAGTTGCCTGCAAAGCTGCATTTTCCCCAGAGCCGAGCCTGCTGTGGGTCCCAGGGGAATATCTGGTTTGACGGTCCCAGAGCTGAGGGAAAGCCATGGGCTTCCCAGAACCCCAGCAGGCTGCATGCCACACTCACTGGCATGTGGCTGGCACAGCTGGAGGCCAAGCAGGGTGAAGAGAGCCAGGGCCAAGGCTCTCCTGGATGACAACTGCTCACAAGCCCCTCGCTGGGCGGCTCCATTGCCTCTATCCCTGTGTGCACTTCTCCCCTGCCTGTGGAGCAGAGTGCAGGCAGGCACCAGGCCAGGGCGCAGGCAGGGAGGATGCGGCGCCAGGCTGCGCAGATGCAGTGCCCGCAGCCCTGCCTCTCCCCATGCTCAGCAGCACTAGTGGGACATGGGCTGAGATACAGGGCAAGGGGGGGGGGGGGACAGGGACAACACAGGCACCTGGGAAGTGTGTGAGGGGACAAGCCCTTTGCAGAGGGTGCAAGCAGCGGGAAAGCCCTTTGGAGCCTTTCCCCATCCCTCCACCCCTTCCCAGCCCCAGCGAATGTGACTCATAAGCCAGGCATCCATCCTGGCCTCGAACACCCTCGGCGCCCGCTGCCGGAGCACACCCGCCCCGTCCCCAAACCCCACCAGCCCCGCTTGGGGGACAAGAACAACCTGCCTGGAGGCTGGCCCAGCCTGGCGATCACTGACTGGGGACCCCAGTGCTCAGAGAGCAGGCGTTCACCAAAATAGCAGGATTCCACCCAAAACTCCTTCCCCACGGCCCGCCTCATGCCCAGGACACGGAACTATGCTGCACAGGGCCCTTTGCCCCTTGGGGCAGGCACTCCAGGATCCTGGCAATGTCCGTCCAGACAGCGCAGAGGGAGGCTGTTTGGGGAGAAAGGCAAAGGCCATACCCCTTCGGGGAGGCATCTGACCGAGACAGGAGCCTGGTGGGCAGCCTTCCCCACACCAGCACTGCAGGGTGTGGGACCAGGCAGCCCAGTGCCCATCCGGTCGTGCCCCGGCACCACCTTGGACCCTGCTGCCACAGGATATCAAGCAGCTGGGCAGTGCCACGCATGTGTTTGGCCATGGCTGTCCTGGCACCTTCAGGGACACAGGGTGAGGTGCTACGTGCCCGGCCCCACGCCTCAAGCAGATACAGCTGTGATAAGGCAGGAAAGGGCAGCAGAGCTGCCCGGGTTGGGCCATGGTGCCACCAGCTACCGCAAATATTAGCTTTGGCCCCACACAGGGTGCGGGCTCCCAGGAAGGTTTCTCCCCATGGTGGCTGGCTCCCATCTGGGGCTGCCAGCCCACATCCACATCTCCGGAGAAGTGGGTGTTGTCTCCTCGCAAACCCTCAGACCAAGGGCCCAGGCACAGGGGTGGGGGCCAAGGACTGGCAGCTCCTTCCAGGGGTCTGCACCGCAGGCATCCTTGCACACCCTGGAGAGGGAGGAGGTATGCAAATCCCCCCCTGGACATGGCTGCACCCCGACATTTGCCCCACAACATCTGGAGTTGCCTGTAATTTTCCCAGGTGCTGACACCCTGAGTTGCAGCTCTTGGGCATCCATGGGAGGCAGCTGGAGCCAGGCTGAGTAGGAGCAGCAGTGCTTGGCCCAGGGCTTGGACAGGGCTGCTCCGCTCCACCCTCAACTCCCCCAGTAATCCCCTCTTCCACACGTGCCAGGGCTCTGGGGGCTGCATGGCCCCAGCTCCCAGCTTGTGGGTGAGCCCAGAGCCCCTGCACTGCCCCAAACGTGGGTCTCCCCAGGTGCTCGCTGCAGCGTCACCAAGGCACACAGCCCAACTACAACCAGCTTTTTAGGTGCAGATGGACCCTGCAGCGGCAAGAGATGTTTGTGCCCACACTGCAGGCTCTGCTGGGGAAGGGCTGTTGCAAGAGCAGCCTTTTGGGGCTGGAAGTGCAGTTGTGCCCTGCCCGGGGCTGTGTGGTGCACCAGGTCCTGTCCTGGGGACAGCACAGGGCACAGGCAGGCTGGCATGGCAGAGCAGGGCATCTCTGCAGCTCCTGGCTCTGCCAGGCCTTGCCATCCCCTTCAGCCATCCCTGGCATCTCACAGGGCACTGCCGCAGCATGGAGGGGCTTTGGGTGCTCGGTGTCCTGCTGCTCTCCTGCCTGCTGCTGCCATCACCCGCGGGGAGCCAGACCAGCCCCAGCCCCGACAGGCGTCTGCAGATGGACCCTGAGGAGGCACCATCCCAGCACCACGCTGCCAGGTGAGGGGACCCTGGGGCTGGGGTATTTCACAACGGTGGACAGGGCAGCCCTGGCACCACAAAGAGCCCCAGCCCCCACCCGTAGCTCCCTGTTGCGCTTTGCTTTCTGCCCTTCCCAGGGCCATGTGGGAGCAGAAGGCCGGCGGTGCCCAGGAGAGGCTGCCTCCGCGGCCCCGCTGCGTCCGCTGCTGCGAGCCACCTGACCAGCGCTTCTCCTACCCCCAGTACCAGCCCCTGCCTCAGATCAACATGACCATCCTGAAAGGTGAGGGCTGGTGGGGCCCCGTGCTGTGGCACTGCCTGCAGCCACCGCGGCCAAACCTGCAACTCAGGTACCCCATGCTGCCGGGCACCATGAGCCTGCCTGGTCTGCCAGCATCACTCCAGGGCCAGCGCAAAGCTGGGCTCCCAGTGCCGGCTCTCTGGGGTGCCAGTCTCACACAAACTGGCAGCAAGAAGCTGGGGCTGGTGCCTGCGGTCCAGCGCCCTGCACAGGCAGAGGAGCAGTGGGTCTGAGACACCCCAGGGCACAAGCTGCTCCTGCTCTGGTGGCCTCTGGGCAGCAGCTTTGGAGGCAGCATCAGAGCCCAGGGAGGGGGCAGGGGAGTCCCCACTGTCTCCATCCCCTTCTGTCAGGCAAAGGGGCTTCCATTGGGTTTAGAGATGGCACCACCTCTGACAGCACAACTGTCCCTCCTTCTTCGCCCAGGAGAGAAGGGTGACCGTGGCGAGCGAGGCATGCAGGGCAAGTTCGGCAAAACAGGGGTGGCCGGCAGCAGGGGCCACACGGGGCCCAAGGGACAGAAGGGCAGCGTGGGTGCCCCAGGGGAGCGCTGCAAGAGCCACTATGCTGCCTTCTCGGTGGGCCGCAAGAAACCCCTGCACAGCAACGACTACTACCAGACCCTCATCTTTGATACGGAGTTTGTCAACCTCTACGACCACTTCAGCATGTTCACAGGCAAGTTTTACTGCTATGTCCCTGGCATCTACTACTTCAGCCTCAACGTGCACACCTGGAACCAGAAGGAGACGTACCTGCACATCATGCACAACGGGGCAGAGGTGGTGATCCTCTACGCCCAGGTGAGTGACCGCAGCATCATGCAGAGCCAGAGCATCATGCTGGAGCTGCGGGAGCAGGACGAGGTCTGGGTGCGGCTCTACAAGGGCGAGCGTGAGAACGCAGTCTTCAGTGATGAGTATGACACTTACATCACCTTCAGCGGCCACCTCATCAAGTACAGCGGGGACCCCTGAGTGCCTCCTCCACCCTGCTCCCCCTCCCCTGGGGCGGGTGTCCGAGGAGCCCCTGCCACCCCCTTGCCCCAGGCATGCCACCCACCATTAAGCTGTTGCCCTTCTACGTGCCACTACCCCCAGCAGCTGTGTGAGTGTGCGAATACCCCCACCCCCAGCTCCTCGAGGCCGATCGGATGCACCTGCAGGAGTCAGAGCCATTTCCAGCCTCTACTGCATTTTTGACCCGGGAAGCGGCCGCTCTCCTGGGGCAGGCAGGGCGCTCATCCCCACCTGCACCTGCTTCAGAGCTGGGTTTGCTGGGGCACAGGCATTTGTGGCACTGGCTGTGAGCCAGCACCAGCTGAACGGGTTTGGCAGCTGATGCCCTGGTGCAAGGCAGTGCAGACACCTCCACCACGTTTCTCCCTTGCCCCGCTCGCACTATGCCGTGCTCTGCAGGCTCCTTCTCCTGGAAAAGGGCAGAGGATGCTCAGCATCCAACAGGAAAGGCAATAAAACCACTAAGGGCCCCTCTTTCTATCTATCTGCAGAGCTGGGTCCCAACAGCGCAGATGTTGCAGCACAGCACTGGGTACCCTGTGGGCTGACACTTCCCCCAAGCGCTCCCGCGGGGGAGTAGATTGCGTCAGTTCCCCTCTGCAAATCCCCGTCACATTTTCCCTCACCACAGCCTCTGCTCGGTGCTGATGCTGCCGAGGAGGGGCTGGCTCCCCACTGGCAGCCCTGGGTGCAGGGCCTTTGGCCTCAGCTACTTCCTATTCTGTTAGATTATCTGCTGGGCAGGCTTTGTATTTTTATAGATGCAATAGCAGAGCAGAGCCAGGAGCAGCATGCTGCCCCCTGCCCTCTGTACAGCTTCTGACCACATTAAACACCCATGATTTCAAGTCCTACTCACCTTTTCAGTGCATTCTCTTGTTTTGTGTGTGCGGGAGCTCTGAGTGGCTCAGGACAGGTACCCATTCCTGGGGTGCAGGGGCTCCCCAAGAGCCACAGGCTGGCATGGTGCTGCTGGGAAGGGCAGAGTATCCCTGGAGAGCCAAGGACATCCGAGCTGGGCTCCATGAGGGCCAGCTGCCCCCAAAGGACCAGGGAGCTGAGCGCAGTAACAGACCTGTCAGCCTGCGAGCAGGGCAGGCTGGGGCTGGTGGCCAGGTTTACCAAGAGTCTGGATCATCCAGCAAGTCTGCAGTGATGAGGCAGGTCTGAGGTCAAGCTGGGAAGCCAGTGGGTCAGGGTCTGGAGCGGTGGGTCAGGGTCTGGAGCAGTGAGTCCATGGCTGGGCAGGGCAGAGCTGCTGGGCAGGGCAGAGCTGCAGCTGGAGACCAGCATCCCCCCAGCACAGCAGAGAAAGGAGGGAGGGCTCAGGGCTGAGCTTAAATAGAGCCCTGGCCACACAGGTGGGTGGTGGGTGGGGGCCCAGGTGAGGCTGGCCAGGGCTGTCTAGGGCTGGCAGCACCCTCAGGGCCCTGGCACTGCTGTCCCCATGGGGCTCACCCCAGGGACCCTGTCCCAGCCCTGCGGCAGGGGCAAAGCCCCGTGGCAGCACCCAGCGCCTCGGGCAGCAGGCAGGGCTGGGGCTGCCAGCGCTGCTGGCACATGGCACGAGGGGAGGGCTGCCTGCTGCGGGGCGGCCGCCAGCCCAGGTACCGGCTCTAGTCCAGTCTGCACAGCAGGGCCTGTACTAGGACACACGTCGCATCCTGGCACACACGTCCCATCCCGGGACACACAGCTCATCCCGGGACACACAGTCCATCCCGGGATGTGTGGCCCCGTCCCAGGACACACAGCCCATCCCAGGACACACGTCCCATCCTGGAAGACACGTGCCCATCCTGGGACACATGGCCCCATCCCAGGACACACATCGCCATCCTGGGAAACCGGCCCCGTGCCAGGACACACGGGTCCAGGCGGCGCCGAGCTCGGCCGGGGCGGGCCGGGCGCTGGGGGCGGTGCGGGGCCGGGGCCGGG